AACTTTGTTGCCTTGAGTGGAGGCCACGGCAGGCTGGAAGTTTGGCTTCCTCCATTGCTAGGGTAACTAAGCCTCCTGCTTGCTCCAGCTCCATGGCTGCCGGCCGCCATCTTGGTTGGGTTAATTTGCATATTGTCACTCTGACTGGCAGGTGAGCGTGGCTTCGGCATAGGGGAGGTGCAATTTGCATGTTTCTCTTTTATTAGATTAGATGGTATGCATTTATCTAAACATAACTAAACATAAAAATACAGTAAATATATGGTATCAAAGATAAAAAATGGTATAGGGCAGGAGCTTGCAGGACAGAAAATTGCTCTGGGAGTGGTGACTGAATATGAAGGCCTACCACATTACTATACACTACTGTAGACACTATAAACACAGTCCCATAAGCCTTGCCTCTGCTTTCTTCTGACAGGGTCAGAAATAAAACAGTGAAGCTGCCAAAGCTGCTCCATGAACAGGGATATGAACTGGACTGATGTGCAATATTGAGGAAATCAGCTAAAGCATACATCACCAAACAGTGACCAACATGAGGGAGTGAAAGCTTGTCTGAGGATTAATAGGAAATCAAAATGGAAAGCTAAAAGAACACAAGGGATTGCCATGGCAATGTGGTTTTGAGTATTGCATGTTGGAGCAGTGGTCATATTAAGGAACTTTGTGTTATTCATTTAAAAAAAAAAAAGAGGGGATTTCTAACATGGAGAAGGTGTAGAACTGAGACTTCAATATTCTGACTTTGGAAATTTGTTTTTGGTTCCATTGACCCTTTCTGGAACAAAGGATTTCTCTAGAACTGAATGGATGGGGAAAAACAACTTATCTATGCTTTATATCATTACAACTTGAAAATATTTACAAAGTACAGGGACAGGCTGGCTCCACACTACCTGTAGGGGCCTCATATACATTATATAAATGTAGGAAAGTCAGCTCTATTAATAATATTACTAGAGGCCCAGTGCACAAATTTGGGCATGGGTGGGGTCCGGCCAGCCCGGCCCCTATCTGCATGGATCAGGGCCAGGCCTGCTGGGAAGAGGAGACAGTGGGAGGCTGGCCAGCTGACTGGCTGGCTTGCCCTGATAGGGGCCTATCACGGCTGAGCTGGCTGGGGGGAGGAGCCGTGGCGATTGGCCGGTGGGCCCCTCCCCCAATCGGCCGTGGGGAGGGTCTGTGAGTGTTGAGCCAGCCAGCCCCACCCCCAAATAGGGT